TCTCTCTCTCTCTCTCTCTCTCTCTCATATGTCTAGCCATAGCTCACTCTTATCGCGCATATCTCCCTCTAATAAATTTGAATCCCATGTCTTATACACACCGTTATCTACCGGCGCCCAAAACTACACCCCTATTAGCGCACATACAGTTGCGTAGAGCGACACTGATATGACACACAGTTATCGCCACAAAACAAACAAAACTATCTGTGAATGACTTAATCATAAAATGTATTTCTCGTTACACTTATAGACAGCACTACGAGAGGGAAATCATCGGCTTTTCGGACGACTTGTCGACCGTAAGCTTCTACGAGCGCCGGTACTACGTGTTCGACCCGATCAAGACTACCGGTTCCCTCGACGACAACATAACTGTGATCAACGCACCGTTCGCTGTAAGATAACCGTCCCATCAGATTAGATACACTCTGTGTTTATACGATGACTACATGTGTTTACTAACGGAAACCTGTATTTCCTGTGTTGCAGGCGTTGGGCTCAATCATACCGAAGCTGGTGGACGGCCTACCGCTACCTCCGTTTTTCTCATCGCTGCCATACCGGGCCGTCAACTCATTTCTCGAGAGCCACAAGCAGTCGCTGTTCGTGAACACAACGGTCCGGGACCTCCTATTCGGCTATAAGCTGGACATACTGGACACGGCCGAGGGGTTCGCGCACACCCTCTCCACCTTCGGGATCGACGACTTCATGCCCCGCGAGTTCTTTCCCAACAACTCGTTCGGTGTACTGAACGGCCGCAACGGCACACTCGACGGCCCCTTCGAGGTCTACACCGGACTGGCCGGCACTCAGGACGACTTCGGCGCTTTCAAGTCCTGGAAGAATCAGTCGTAAGTTCCCGGAGCTCTCAGTCTCTTTCCCCCTATCAGTACCTCACTCTCACTGTCTTATCAGACTATGAGGACTGGTATGTATGGGTTTACAGTGAGTTTAATGCGTTTTCTCTGTCTATAGTCGACTGAATTGGTGGAAAGCGGACGCGTGTAACGCCATCAATGGCACCGACGGTACGATTTGGCCGCCATTTATCGATAAGTCAAAGCGACTAAACTTTTACGTACCCGATGTGTGCCGGTAAGCCATTCCCAGCCAACCTCTTATGGTTCATAAGCTCTAACCCTCTATTTTGCGACGTTTAGCTCATTATACGTGACATTTCAAGAGGAATCGGAGCTCAAAGGCATCAAAACCTACATATACTCAGCGCCGGACGACGTGATGAACGGCATGGAAACAAATCCGGAGAACGAGTGCTTCTGTATGAACGACAAGACAGACCACTGCCGACTGGACGGCGTCTATGACATGAGCGCCTGCCAGCACGACATACCCATAATCGTCTCACTGCCCCACTTCCTGGGCGGCGATAAGCGCATCACTGACCGCATCGAAGGCCTTAAACCTGACCCGAAGCTGCACCGGTCGGTCATACACGTGGAACCGGTATGTTGTCATTTGCGCTTAGTTTTTGAGTTTGTTTAGTGATATATTGCTAACTAATGTGTGTTTTCTAATTGTTACAGACATTAGGGGCTGTCATACACGGGGACAGTAAGCTTCAGATGGCTATCCGAGTGCCAAAGAATGAATACATAAGGTATGCTCTGCTGTGATCCCTTTCCATTCATTTTCAGTTTAAGTAATTTGTTTTGTTTGCCATGAATTGCAGAGGTTTTGAGAATCTCGACGACGATCTCTACATTCCCCTCTTCTGGGGCTATAAGGTATGTGTCGGTGACCGCACCCGGCGTTCATGCCGTATGACAAGGAAATGGGTTTTAATTAATGAATTGTTTACTTAATTTTGTGCAGAAATTGGGTATTTCTGACGACTTCGCGGCCGAACTTAAGTCAAGACTTTTCACACCAATAATTGTCATTAAATACATAATTATTATGGGAATCATAACCGGGTTTCTAATGCTATTCATTTCCATTTTGTTGGCCTTTTTATGCCAAACTCAGGTAATTATTGCATAATTGAAACATTTAATTGAAATAACGCTTAAGAGCTGACATATGGCTCAGGGATGGCATGTATAGCGTGGGAATCGTAGTCTAAACAACTTTGCCTTCAATAGCGCCTTATAAATGATGTGTTGTTTTTATTTTAAGCAATATTTGAGACTATTTTTAGTTCAATTA